CGAAGCACAGAGCCATCCGTAATGTGGCTCAGGCCTTATGGGTTTGCCTCAGGTGGGCTGACTCTGATGATGCCCTGCTCTCACTGACCCTCTCTCCTGTTTCTCCCCAAATTAGATCCAGACCCACAAGGTCCACACTCTGGTTCTGCCTCCCGCTTGGCGTCTCCTAAACTCCTGTGCTCACTACGCTCTACCCACCAATTGGTCTTCTGTCCTGGAAGTGGCTCACTGCTCCTGCTCAGGGCCTTTGCACTTGCTGTGCCTCTGCCATGAATGCTCTTCCCAGACACCCCCATAATGGCTGCTCCTTTTCTCCAAGTCAGAGGAGGCCTCTAATCTCCTGTCCACAGCAGCCCAGCTCTCTTCTCCCTGTTTTATTGTCTTCACAACACTTGGCACTACCTGAAGTTGCGTTACACAGTGTATACTTGTTTACTGTCCCTCCCTGCCCAACAACAGGGCCTTGTCTATTTGTTTACCACTGCATTCTGAGCACCAGGACCTGGGCAGCCCAATGCATAGTCACCAGTCCCATGTGGCTACTTAAATGAAAATGAAAGTTGATTAAAATTAACTAAAATTTAACAGGCGGTTTCTCAGGTACACCAGCCACATTTCACATTTTCAGAAGCCGCTTGTGTCTAGTGGATCCTGTACTGGACAGGGCAGATACAGTGCCCTTCTATCATTGCAGAAGGTTCCAGTGTGCAACAGTGGCCCAGGCCATGTGGCATGTCACAGAACTATACCACTGAGGAAATGTTATATCCATTCATTCATTCACTCATTCATTTATTCATTTACTGATCTGTTCATTCAGAAATTATGGAATGCTCACCATTTTGTGTATAAAATACACTCTGATATCACCGGTATTTGCATGTGGTGCTCTGGGTGGTGCTGGTGGGCCTGTTGTTGACGAGGGTGGTGACTGTTATAAAGGAACACTAATGGCCATGGGGAGCTGATGGAAGCCCATTTTTTGGATGGTGTATCTCTCAGCTTTCTGTTACTATAACTTTAGAGGCAGGCTGGGTATGGTGGTGCACACCTATAATTCCAGCTATATGGGAGAGGCAGAGGAAGGAGAATTGCAGTCTGAGACCAGGCAGGGTGAGAAGGCTAGGGGAGTGGCTCGCAGTTCTGGAGGTTCAAGGGCAAGGTCTCATGGCTGATGGCATCATGCAGGGGCGTGTGGGAATAAGAGATTACATCACAAGGTCAAAAGCCAAAGACGTCAGGAGCTCCAACACAGGGTCCCATGAGAACAACCTCAACCCCTTCTGAGCGCAGCACCGCCAATGACCTCCCATTGGGTTCCACCTCTTAATGGCTCTCCACACTGAGACCACACTTCCAGCACAGGAATCCTTGGGGCCAAACCACACCATCCCCAGACCATGGCAGATGAGCAATTCCCGTGCCCAGGGGAGACCACTGGCGCCCTCCTCCCCTGCTGTCACCCCGCAGGGGAAGAAGAGCTGAGAAATGCATGAGGCAACCCATGGACCCCACGCTCCACTCCCAGTGCGGCCCCTTCCAACCCTCTAGCTGGGAAGCCATTTCACCATTTCATTTGGAGAACGTGAAAAGACGTGGCAAACACGTTATCCTGTCCTCCTGCGCTGGACCCAGACACAGCTGATTAATCATTGAACCTGCATAAGCCAGAAAGAAGGTTCCAGACACTCTCAGACGTACCCCAGGGAAGCCACTTCTCATCAAAGCCCATCTCCTGCATGGGGTCTCACCGTTCTAAGCCTGGCTTCTTCATCTACGAGATGGGGACTCCCTCCCCCATGGGGTTGTTGGGAGCTAGATGAGATGCTTGCCTCTCTCAGTTACTCACTTACACACCAGGTCCACACAGAGCACCCACGGGGCTCACATGGGCCTGGTACCTGCAGCCGTCACTAGCAGACGACTGTGTGCTGCCTTCTGCTGTAGGTGGAGTTGGCCTCCTGTCCTTACTTCCCCTCCATGCCCCTCTCCTTAGGGCCAGCTCACACTCACTGTGTCACCTAATGAGGGGGAAAGGAGCCCATAAATGTTAACCTGAGGATTTAGCAGGCAGCAAATTTTCCAATCAAAAATACTCCCCTTTTTCTAGTACTTTCTTTCCTCTGTTCTAAATAAGCCTTGGATTAGCTCCCCCATTTAACTTTCCTTCAGATTCCCATACACAAAGCACTGTATTAACAAGCCGTGTCTACCAGGCCGAGCTATATTTCCTATAAACTCACATTTTATCTCCTCCAAAACACACAGTAATAGTGTTCTCTGGAGAATATTAAATCAAACCAACCTACAGCTGCATTTGTTTGCGCTTTTCTGCCCCCGGTAAATTCTGGCAACAGATGGCTGTGCGTTATATAAGTGGTGGCCTGGTGGGCACCGTGGTCTTCCATGCTCCACCCTGTGTGTTGAAAGACCTCAGGCTCTACCCCACAGTCCACGTGACCCACACAGCACAGTGGCCCCTGATGTTCTTGTGAGATTCAGGGCCCAGATTCTTTTTTGTGTTCTGTACGAACAGGAGGACTGAGTGCAGGGTAAAGAAGGCCAGCCTCAGCCAAGGGGTGGAATTTACCTGCTTTGTTCATAAAAATCTGCTTTTCTTGGTCTGACGTACATGTTCAGTGATACAGCTGAGCTAAGGGACTGGGTCTGGGCATCTGGCAGGGTCTCATGACCCATTCTAGAAGCAGGTACTGACAATCACCAGCCAGGAAGTGCTGACAAGAGCACTGGGCCCTATGTGTTGGGGAGCACTGTGCAATGGGGGCTGAGGTTGGGTGCAGGGTCTCTGAGCATGCCTGGAGCCTGGCTGGCCAGAGAGTAAAGGCAGCTGACAGGGCCCTCCCTAGAAACTTCCAGTGGCTTAGATTTCTTTTTCTCAAATTTAAACTTCAGAAGTTTGTTTTAAAACCCCAAACAACAGAAGTCAGAGAAAGCTCTCTGTTATTCCTTTGGGTAGCATGGGACATGAACACAGCCTGTTGACATTGTATCCACCTCAATGGTCATTAGACCTGCAGGTGGCAGTGCTTGGGGCATGTACTAGGCACATGGATGGATGGATGGGTGGGGAAGAGTTAACAGGGACAAGTATAGGGAGGGAGGCCGGAGAGGAGAGAGCAGAACTGATAGTTCTGGAAAATTCTGAGCCCTGCCTCTACCCTGCGGTGTAGACCCATAAAAACCACCTAAGCTCTCTCTTCCCCAGGCTCTTGCCTGAATATCAGGAAGGATAACACAACTTGATGCCTGGTCTCCAGGGATCCAAGGTAGAATGGCCATTTGGAATTGAGTAGGCCAGGGGCTGGGGACACAGTGTGACCACCTATTCGCTGACAGAGCCTAGGGGCCGTGACATTAAGGTGGCTGGTGTGTGTCAGGGGACACATGACAGGGAAGTAGGCCTGGCACGGGGCATTAGGAGGCTCTGATGTCATGCTCAAGGGTTTATCTTCTTCCTCTGTGGGTTTGAGACAGCAGAGAGGATGGCCAGCATTCCCTGGGGGCAACTGGCAACAGACTGGAGAGTATGGTTGATGGCCAGAGAGGACATGTCCACACCTCTGCTCCTGCTTTGCCCTCCCCCAGGATACACCAACTCCTTCTCTGCTCTGGTGCATGTTCTTTCTTAAACCTTTCTGGATTTCTCCATGCAATCTGGGGCAGGCCAGTTCCACCCAAACATGAGTTTTATTTCATGTTTCACACCGGGAAGCCTCAAGCCAAATATCAGATTTCCAACTGGGCATAGTAGCATATAAGGGAAGCAGAGGATGGTGAGTTCAAGGCCAGCTGGGCTACATTGCAAGACCCTGTTTCATAAAACCAAAACTAACTAACCAACCAAATAAAATAGCCTCCCAAATCAGATTTGTAAGATCATTGGAATGGTCAGAAGATCCAGTAGCAGTGGCTGGTGTTCCTACATGGCGACCTTTATCAAAGCTGAAAAGTATCTTCTACTTACTGCACCACTGGCTTCCAGACGGACACACTCCCCACCACTCCCTAGCATCTTTCTAACAAGACAGAGGCTGACGGTAAGCTACTACTTAAAATCTTGCTTGTTGTTTTCCTTAAAGATCTGGAGAGTAGGTGTGCAAATTCTTGTCACCATGTCTATCATAAGAAGGGAATCAAGACAGAGTGACTTGCTCATTTTCTTCCCTGCTAGGTCTCAGGGTCACCTGAGTTGGAACCTCTGGTGCTCTGGGTCACCTTTTTGGGCCTTATCACACTACACTGTATTTCCACATCCACTTGTCTTTCAGCTTCTAGACTAGGAGGACCTCCAGGGCATGATCTGTGTCTTTCTCATCAGTACCCTCTGAATTTATCATGCGGTCTGACAACTCATGGTGTGCACTCAGTAATACATGTGGAATGAAGGAATCAATGCAAATGAATTCATGAGCAGTCTGGAGAAGGAAGGACAAGGCCTGGGTGAAGGTAGACAGTGGAAGGATAGAAGGGAAGTGGTAGATTCTGGAACCTGTGGGGCCCAGCAGTCAGAGCTAAGAGCCTGGCTATGCAGAGTGAGGTCTGCACCCTAGGAAGGCTGGCACCTCCTGGGATGGTCACTCAGAATCTTAGGCCCTGACTGCCCTCCCTGCTGAATTAGAACCTGTAAGATCCCCAGGTGGGTCACTGCAGACTAACACTTAGGAAGCAATGGCAAAGACAAGGAATCAGCCTATAGTCCAACAGGGATCACATTTGTTCTCTGATGCTGACTGGCTGTGTGACTTGGGGCAAGTTACAGAACCTCTCTGTGTCTCTGTATCCTTATCTCTAAAACTGAGTCTCAGTTCATACTTTTCCAGTCTCTCCAAAGTGGGGAATAAGGCATACACTGAGGATACTTCCTCAGCCTCAGGAGTGAGAGGCTCTGCTCTGGTGGCTGGAGTGGTGTGAGATCCCACAGCAGGGCCTCCTTGAACCCATGGAGAACTCAGGATTTCAGAGCTGGAGCCATTACTCACCCCATCAGTTGTCCAGTAGTTCCAAACTTTGATCTTGGCCAGACCAAAGTCCTGCAGCTGCCGTGTGTTTCGGATAATGAAAAAGAGCTTGAGCGGCGGGTGGAAGGGGCAGGTCCACAAGGAGAGGTCCTCTTTGCTCTGAAAGGCCAGCAAGAGAGGGGAGCCATCAGGTCCACTGCCTCTCCCCAAAGTAAAATGGCAGGGGCTCGTGCTAATGACAACCATGAGGGCAGCAGCAGGAGGCTGCTGTCTCTATGTAGTGCAGGATAAGTCTCCAACTGCACTCATCTGGACTGCTCTCCTTAGCGGGCTACTGACCTGTCCCCACACAAAGCTGCCACATGGGCCCCAGTGATCTGCCAACCAGATGGAATTCAAAATGCAGCGGGTTTTATTTTAATCAACTTTAATCGGCTTTGAAGAGAGCAGTGGGGCAGGAGAGGCGCCAGGGGGCTGGCCAGGCAAAGAGCCTCCTGGCTCCTGCTATTTGATTAACCCGGCAGGCCAAGCCTTCAATTTTCTTTTGTCAAACCTGGTTGAATTTTAAAACTCTGGACTAGAAGAGAAAGAAGCTGGCTTAGGCAATTTGGGATGGGCCATGGCGTGGAGCTAAGCGTTTGTTTTGCTCCTTCAGGGGCTCGAAGTGTGGAGCTTTGCTTTGTAGTGTCCTGCCCATGGCGGGAGGCAGCTCACATGCCACCAAGGCCAGCCCTCAAGGCAGGGGCAGAAGAACTGTGAACTCTGCTTGCCTGTTTTTATTCACTCAACATAGTCACATACAATAGGACAGGCTTTGATGGCAGATGGGAGAAGCCAAGTCAGGGGACTGTTTGGCTGGAGTCACCTTTTAGCTCCTCAGGTACTTCTGCATTCCAGAGGAACAAAACCCACAGCTGCTCTGAGCACACCCACACTGGTTCAACCGCCATGCCCAGGCTCACACTGGGCACCTCTGCTTGCCTATCATGTTCTTCCTACCCTTATCAGCCTGGGAAAGTTCAGCTAGAACATGATGTCATGCCACTGTCCCCTCCTCCGGTGACACTGACTCTTTCCTCCAGGTGCTCTGCATTCCTTTCAACATCTGAGGTCTGTGTTGACCTCAGTGTCCCAACAACAATGTGCTTTCATGCCCTTGTCTCCCCACTTGGCTGTGAGCTCTGTAATGGAAGGGCCTGGGTCTCATTCCTTCCAGAACCTTCAGCCCACAGCACAGCCCCCTGCACGTGGTACATGGCATAGCTTTGCAGAGTGGGGAAGTGACTAAACGAGATCAATGCCATGCACCTCCCAGCTGTCCTCTCGCTGACACTGCAGAGACCTGGTAAGCTGGATCTAGCCTGTGGAGGTATTTTGTTCAGTTCGTGAAATGTTAAAAAAAAAAAAAAAAAAGACAAATTCATTGCTAATACTGAAATATGGAGCGATTTTCCCCAAGAGCCACATTTCTGGCTTCTCTGCAGACTTGGAACATGTGGCAGCACAGGGATCCTGACGGCTGTCTCTTGCAGATCAGTGTGCTGCCCAAAGCCAGTGCAGCCACTGTCCAGTCCCCACTGCTCTGTCCTGTGTACTGCCTGGCCCTGCAGGCATCTGGCTTTGAGGTCCTGGTGGCAGGGAGGGGAGGCTTCTTTTTAAAAAGAGCATCACTCTATTTGATCATCTCAAAGGGTCACCAGGAGCGTGCTGCCACTGGACAGGGCCAGGGAGGGAGGCTGGTGGACTAGGGTTCTGTCAGTCCCAGGAGATCAGCTCCAGCTGAGGGGGGATAATGGGGACAGGGGCCTGTCTTGGAGACAATGGTGCCTTTCAGGAGGCAGGAGGCAGCCTTTGTTAAGGAAGAGCTATGAGTTCAAGGGGTTTTGACTTATTCTGGCAAGTTTCTCAAGCAATGCAGGGACTTTTAGTGCTCTGGGCAGCTGCATGGGGTCAGGAACCACATCTCAAAATCTCTCCCTAAGCCAGGGCCTAAAATGGGTCACAATGGCTGCCTGACAAGGAAGGAGACTGAAGGCTGACCCCTGCACATAGGCCCCGGGGCTGTCATGGATTTCTTCTCATATTTCTGTCAGCAGGAGGAAGAACAGGAAGGCTAAGCGGGAACTGTGGGGTTCAAAGTCAGAGAACATTAACCTGAGGACAACTTGGGGCCTCATTAGTGCTGGGCCGTCTGCTGCTTCCTGCTCACTGACAGTGTCTGAGAGCTGACCCATGCGTGCAGTACAGATGCCTGGTGCCAGGCCTGCAGGCAGAGTGTCTGCAGTGCCCTCCTTCCCTTTATAGGTCATGAGAGGTAGCGGGACAAGGATCACAGCACCTTCACACTGCTGCTACTGTTCTTGGTCCCCTTGAGCCCCACGATGTGCACGTCATTATTCCACACGGATGGAAGACCAGGGCACAGCACGGGCTCCCATCTATCTCAGGCTGCTCATGGCCCATGTGGCAGAGTGAGGATTTGAACCTCAATGTTCAGTTCATGGATTCACTCTGCCTCAGTTAGGCCTGTCCCAGAAGGCAAGGAACATAGCGTAAGCTGGCTACCCAGACAGGGAGGAATGCATGCCCCTGTGGGAGTGGGGAGGTCAGGTGGGAGGGAAGGTGCCTGCAAAGGGTACAGAGCAAGTTGGCTCTTCCTGCAGGCACCTGGGAATCGGGGAGCCAGTGTGCAACATGACTTGGAGCGTCTCCACCCATGGGACAAGTTACACCCCAACTTCCAACAGTGTTGGCTGAGGGCTGCTTCTGGGACCCCAGGAGGCCAGAAAAAAGAATTCTCCTGAGGGAAATCCAGTGCCAGGAGAGGAGCCAGCATGCACAGAAGTGGGCAATAGGCATTGGTACATACCTGCTGAGACCCTCTTGGGGACATAGGCTGAGCTAGATGTAGGAGACATTTCATATAAATGGAACCACAGAATGCAGCCTTCTGTGTCTGGTTTCTTTCACTTAGGATAGATAATGTTCTCAAGGTCCATCCATTGTGCAGCCTGTATCAATGCTTCATCCCTTTTTTATGGCTGAATAATACTCCACTGTCTGGAGATAGCACACTTTTACTACCGTTCATCCGTTTATATACAGTTGGGTTGCTTTCACCTTCTGGCTATTATGAACAATGCCGCTGTGAACATCCATGTGTGAGAACGTGTTTTCAATGAACATGTTTTTAATCTCTTGGTTATATACATAAAGCGGAATTGTTAGGCCACAGGGTTACTCCCCTAAGCAGGCACTGTACCCCTGAGTTACAGCCCGAGCCCTCTCACGTTCTGAGGAACTGCCAAGCTGCTTTCCACGGAGACTGCATCATTTGACTTTTACATTCCCTCCAGCAAAGTGTGAGGGTTCTAATTTCTCCACAGGCTCACCAGTGCTGACACTTTCTGTGTTTTTAACCATAGCCATCCTAGAGGGTATGAGGGGGCTTCACCGTGATTTTGACTTGTATTTCCTTGATGACCACAGCATTGAGCATCCCTCCATGTGCTGGTTGGCCTGTAGTTTTCTGTCCTTGTGATGCTGTTTGGTTTTAGTACCAGGGTAATCTCGGGGAGAATCACTCCCCAAGAAAATCCATCAGCCAGGAACCTGGGAAGAACTTAGGGAGCTGATTTGGAGCCTTTGGGCACCACTCCCTCTGGCTCTGCCAGAGGATGCAACTGGGGTGGGCCACCATGCGTATCCTCTCCCTGTACCCCTAGCCTCAGCATGGACTTGGCAAGGGCAGAGAAAGTGCTCTGGAGTCTGAAGCAGAAACAAAGCACCGTGCGTTATACTTACAGATAAGCTCCTGTTGACGAGACAGCCCAGCTCACCAGGTGACATGGTGTTCCACACATCCACATCATGAGGTGACACGTAAAGCTTTGTGTGGCTCAAGTCGAAGAACTCAACCTCAGTGAGCCCCACCCATGATGCATTGCCCCAGTTGGATAGGATCTCCATGGTCACACAGATGGCGTCTTTGACCTCTTCTGTTCTCATGCTCCATTTGTCCTTAACGAGAGAAAAATAATACCAAAAGATGAAGAAGCAACAAGCCTGAGTTCAGTTCCACCACTGCTGGAGGGACTTCAGAAGCCTATTTGACCTCTCGGTGTCTCAGGTTCTCTTCTGTGTCACGAGAATAGGACTAGCACCTGCAACCTGGCGTGGTGGTCACACCAGTAATCTCAGCTAATCAAGAGGTGCAGATAAGAAGATCATAGTTCAAGGTCAGTCCAGGATAAAAAGTGTGAGACCCTGTCTGAAAATTAAAGTAGAAAGGGCAGGAGGTGTGGCTTAAGTGGTGGAGCACTGCCTAGCAAGTGCAAGGTCCTGAGTTCAAACTCCAGTACCAGCAAACAAACAAAAAGAAGAGCATCTGCCACCTACACTACTATGAGCTTGCATGAACTCCCATTTGTAAAGCACTTAAAGTTTAGGGACCAGGTTGGGGATGCAGCTCAGTGGCAAGTGCTTGCCTAACACATTAGGTCCTGGGTTCTGACTCCAGTACCACAAAAACTCAATAAAAAAAAAAGAATAAGGACAGTGTATCCTGGCACTTAGTAACCATTACGTTTAAGGGTTTGCAAATAAATAAAAATGTTAAAAAGCCTCAGATGCCATCTAAATGCTTACTTGGCTTCCCCACCATGCAGAGTCATGTTCTCAGGCAGCCAGGACAGCTGCTGAGGTGTCAGGGGCTGTGCTGTGGCCCAGCTCATGTACTGGAGGTCTAACACACAGTATCTCGGAATGTAGCTGCATTGGGAGACAAGGCCTTTAAAGAGGTGATTAAATTAAAATGAGGCCATTGCTGTTGGCCCCAATCCAATCTGGTGTCCTTATAAGAAGAAGAGATCTGGACCACAGAGATATACCAGTGATGCATAGGACCATGTGCGGACACAGGAAGAAGGTGGCCATCTGCAAGGTAAGGAGCGAAGCTGTAGAAGTCAGTGCTGCCAACACGTTGATCCTGGATTTAGTTCCAGCTTCTGGAACTGGGAGAAAATAAATCTTGTTAGGGCTGCTGGAATGGCTCAAGTGGTAGAGAGCCTGCTTAGCAAGAGTGAGGCCCTGAGTTCAAACTCCAGCACCGTAATTTAAAAAAACGAAAAAAATGTTGTTTAGGCCACCCAGTTGTGTGCTCTTTGATGCAGCAGCCTGAGTGGACTAAAACAGAAGGTAAGGAAGGCCCCCATTACCTTGGGCCCATCACTTGACATCCCTCAGCCTGGCCAGGAAGTGAGGTGCCATCTCCATGCAAATACTCAGCCTGGAGGTTAAGCAAGATGTCAACACTCAAGAATGCCCCACCGTGTGCACTTGGAGGGCATCTGTTCCTTGATGCTCTCCTTGGCTGGTTTTACTGCCTGCCTCCTTCCTGGGTAGGCTGGCTGGTCTGCGTGAATGTCATCAGTAAACAGCAGCCCTGTGTGATGGTTCCTGCAGACCCTCCAGGGCCGACTGCTGCGCTGGCCACGGATCAGTCACTCATAAAATGGCACGTTCCCTGCATGCGCGGCCCTCTGTTAATTAGCACTGGTAATCTGCGATGGCCTATGAGCAAGGAGCTGAGCAAATGAATAGCAACTGTTCCCCACTTAGGTTTTTAATTAATAGCCAGTGAGACGTGGGAAGGCTCCCAGCGTGTGTGCAGGAGCAGTGATTGCAACACCTGGGGATGGGGACAGGCATGGGAGGGGACAGGAACTAGGAGGAGACAGGTTAGCTTGGCACTCCCAGCAAGTATGCAGTGCGTTTTGATTGGGACCCACAGCTTTGTCTTGGTAGTCCTTCACCACTGCACAGGGCCCTGGCAGGCCCTGTGTTGCCTTGGGCCTGAGTCCCAGGATTGCAGAATGGTGACAAACTTCACCAGGAGGTGAGCACTAAGGAGCTAGGGCTTGTGGGAACTTCTAGGGAGGTGGGAAAGCTGTGTTGGCTGGCGGGAAGGAGGAGGGAGTGGGCCTCCTGCCTATGCCATCTGAAATGTGCAGATTCCTGGGCGAGTTTCTACATGAGGCAGCTGAAGGTTCTACTAAAGATGTGTCACTGCTGGCAGTGTCACAATTGCATACTCCTCTGAAACCCTCTGGGGCCTGAGGTGACTCCACTGGAAAGCCCCCAGTTTCTGGTGTTCTCTGTCCACCTTACCAAGTCCCCACTTTGGCGGTGGGGGGTGGCTCAAGGCTGGGCATATGCCCCGGCTGAGGTCAGGGCACCACCCAGCGTTAGCTTTGTGTGGGAGCCACACTCCACTCTTTCAACAGCAACAATGGAGACTGAGGGTCTCAGAGTGCTTAGGGACCAAGGGAGGGAACAGAGCTGAGGACAGCAGTGTTAGATGGAGCCTAAGGGCACAACACTAGAGCCAGTGGAGTGGGAGTGAGATCCATCCCTGCAAGGGGTTGGGGGGCGGCCCTCCAAGGTGGCACTTTGAGTGACAAAAGCCTGCTGCCCTTGCTTCTTTGTTATGCAAGTCAGTCTACCCTGGATTTTCCACCTCCTCTAAAGAAATTCAATCAATCCGGCTCTTTTTAATGAGGCTGAAGTTACCCTGCAATTAAAATCTCCATGGCTGAAAAAGCTGCTCCTTTGTGCTGTGGGGAGCAAAACTTTGGGATTTCTCCAAGATCAACTTTGAACTGATAGGGACAGTCCTCACCACCCTGGGTCAGGCATTAAGTAGCACTTTCTCACAGACCTTTTCTGTTCAGTCCTCTCGGTGCCTGTGGGGTGGTCTATGTGACAGCCACAGAATTCCAGGGCCAGGGCCTGAGAGCCACAAAATCCCTAAATGCTGGTGCTAGATTCAAAGTAGGAACACCAGGCCAGGCCAGCCCAGGCCCTTGTTGCTGTCATGTGAGTTTTCACATGGGGCTTTGGGAAGGCCTCAAGTTAAGTCCTCATTGGCCAGTAGTAAGAATGGGACCCCCATTCCAAATGACCACGAGTGGGCTTTTGATAAAGCTAGGAGTAGAAGGATATGCTGGGACACACACCATCTGGCACAAAAGAGAAAAGTGTCACACATCACATCTGCTATCCTTGTCTCTTAGATCCCAGCTCCACGTGCATGCTCACACAGCCATTTGCTTGCACGGATGTGACAACTGTATTGAACTGGATGAAGATCATATTGCCGCTTGCAGTTAGCTTTGTATGCTTCTCATTTTCTGTCTGTGTAATCCTCACCACCATGGTTTTGTTCTCCAATGCAGCCGCACAGTGCTCTCTTGGACTTTCCTGATTAACGCCACTATTAGGAGACATTTTGCAATTTCTCTGCCTTTCCTGCTTCCAACAATTCTGTCACAGACACCTGTGTGTCCAGCTTTCTAGATCTTCGGAGAGCTCCTGCAGGGAAGCCCTAAGTGTCTCTGAGACCTGTCCTGAGCCCAGCATTCTGCCTTTCCAGAGTATCTCATCCAGGTACGTAGCTACCAGCAATCATGACAGCACAGCCTTGTGGCGACGTTGACAGCAGTAGAGGTCATCACCAAAAGTAATTTGTTAAGGCAGATGTCAAAGGGGATATTAGGGCTTCTCTAATTTGCATTTCTTGTCTTCTTCCCTTCCTTCCTTCTTTCCTTGAGGTACTGGGGTTTGAACTCAGGACCTTGTGCTGTCTTAGGTAGGTGCTCAACCATTTGAGCCGGGCCCCCAGCTTTTTTTTTGCTTTGGTTTGTTATCAGATAGGGTCTCTTGCTTTTTGACCCGGCTGGCTTCAGATAGTAATCCTTGTACCTATGCTCCCCAGTAGCTAGGATGACAGCATGGAGATACCACCATGCCCAACTTACTTGTTGAGATGGGGTCTCGCTGGAGAGGAGGGGAGATGGAGACTCAGGTGAGTGGATGGAAAGATGCTAAGATGATGACCATCACAGCAATTCCCACCAACTAGAAACGATTGCTCCGAGGGGCCCCTTGCTCCTTCACTTTCACCACACCGACTGTGTCTGGTAGTCCCTGTCAGCTTGGGCTCTCACCTCTGGGTCCAGCACTTGCTCCTCCATTGGTGCAGCTGTGTTGAGATGGGCAGAGTCGCTTTCGATGGCCTGTAGGACTTCCAGAAGCTTCTGCTGTTGTCTGAAATAGGATACTGTTTTGGCAAACAGGCAGTAACACATGATACAGAAAAGAGAATAGCCCCGTCCAAGGTGCCTTGCTGACTCTCCTACCCCAGGGGAAGGAACACTGAGAAGCCACTCTGCACCCTGCATACATCTCAGAGGTGCACCAGGCAGGCCCCACTCCTCCCTTTGTAAGCAGCTGCACTATTAGTGACAGGCCAGACAGCAGCTGACCTCCCCGAGCCAACTGAAATTTGTAAAGAGCCAGGAGCAGGAGTTAGCTGAACTAAGGCCTGCAAGTCAAATTCAGTCCAAGGCCTGTGTTTGTATGACCTAACAGCTAGATGGCTTTTATGTTTTTAGAGGACTATTAAATCTAACACCAAAAGCCCCAAACAACCACCGAGCCTGAAGGATTTTCCATCAGGCCCTCTACAGAAACAGAACTGCTCTGCCCCTCGGTGTGGAGGACACAAGCACTCCAGACCCAGCCACAGGGGCTTCACAGCACCCCACAGCTTCTGGCTAAGGTCAAGCACCCACAAGACCCTGAGCACAAAGGGTGCTGAGCAGGAAGTGGGAAGCTGGTGATGTGTGCACTGCCTGTCTGTTGAACCCTCAGGTGTAAACCAGCCGCACAGCCCAGGGAACCGGGGCTCGTTTACGGCCATGGCAGAGCAGAGTGTGGTTTCCATCTGGGGTTTGCAGGTGCTGGTGGGAATGGATGGCATTGCCCTGAGCCTGCTCACTCTTTGGACATGTTATAAACAGGAGCTCCCTCAGGGTGGACATAAACCTGGCAGGCACACAGTGTGGCTAGTCAAGTCCCTTGTTCTATACTGATGTGGCTTCAGGTCAGGGCCGCTTAGTGACCATGCAGGCTGCATTTCAGCCCCTTTCTGCCCCTCATCCAGGCACTTTGCACAGTCCACAACTTGCACAACTGTGCACAGCAACTCTGGAGTATGCCTCTATGTCAAGATGTGTGTGAAACTACAGGTTCCAGAGTGTTCATCTTATTGAAGATCAATTTTTCCTGAAGACTAGAGGGAAGCCTCTATTTTGATAATAAAACTTGATAATTCCTGGATCTGATGCTACAATATTGCATTTTGACACACTTTTGTAGAGAAAAGGAGTTGAAAAGCTGCCCTAGGGCAGCTGGGGACAAGGTGCCACCCTGGGCTACATGAGGCATTCCATGGGGACCTGGAGAAGGCTGTAGTCTACACAGCTGGAGACCAAGATGAACAGGCCAGGAGCCATCTGCCTGAAGGAAACCCAGTCCATTTCCTGCTTTGGACTGGAGGGTGCCAGGCAGGACACTGTGTGCAGGTGTGGTTTACAATGGTCTGGAGAAAGGCAGGAAAAGCAAAGAAACCTTCAGGTAACAGCCCTGCCTGCTGCACTGCTGTGTTTTCCTGTGTGGGTTTTGAGCCCACCTTGGTTAAGTACCTGTTTCCCAAAAGTCCGATTCTGTCCATGGCATGACTGACGGCCGCCCTAGATGGCTCTGGAGGGGTGGTCACTGCGGCAGTGGAGAGCAGCTGAGGATGGAAAAGCCTGTTAAATCAGCATCTGAGGCAACTCACCCAGCCAAAACCAGTAGGACCACTGTCAAAGGCACGAAATTCTCAGCTCCGCCTAGGGAGACAGCCCAACAGATCTTGAACCCCTCGTAGGAGCTCGGAGGCCCTGGGAAGCATCTGCTTCATGGAATTACTTAATGTTTCTCTCTCCAAAACATTTCAGTGTCTCAACTCAAGCCCCCGTTCTGTTTGCTACACAGTACCAGACCCAGAGGACTCCCAGCATTCCTGAGCACTTTGATGTTTAATTCTCCAAGCCTCTTCCCTTCTTTTTCATTTATCATCTCAACTGGAAGCCGGCCCTGATGTTTACCTGCAGACCATTTTAGTGGTCGGAAGCTCTGGGCTCGGGATCAGACCTTCCAGAAATGCTGGACTGGGTGACACTGTACACCTGTCAGAAATACTGGCTGGTGGCCAAACATGGCAATGCGCACCTGTAATCTGGGGGCACAGGCTGGGGGATCAAGAGTTTGAGGCCAGCCTGAGAATAAACTTGAGACCCTATCTGAAAAATAACTAAAGCAAAAATGGCTGGGGTGTGGCTCAAGTGGCAGAGTGCTTGCTTAGCAAGCGTGAGGACCTGGGTCCAGGCCCCTAGTACTGCAAAAGGAAAGGGAAGGGGAGTAGAGGAGGGGAGGGAGGGGAGGGAGGAAAGAAAGAAAGAGAGACCTTCCTACCCTCAGGGGCTCTGGGGTGCTGTCCTGCCCACCCCATCCCACAGGGACACTTCCTATTCCTGCTCCTTAGGGCAGCTGGACTTATTCCCACCTCAAAGCTCATCCCTGTTCCTTCTACCTGGGGGCTCCTTCTTCTAGGCCCGGCTCAGCTCAAGTGGGACATGCCCCGCAGATGGCCACATCTCCTTCCCTTGTTATCTGCTTTGATTTCCCCTTCTGAAGTTACCCTTGATTTACAGTTTGATTCCCAGTGGCCTACAACCTTCATGAGGCCAGGGACTTCTCCGTTTCACCTACCTCCACACTCTGAGCACACAACATAGATCTGTGCAGTCAAACAAAGACATTCGGGCACTTGATAGTAGTTCACATTCTTAATTGCAGGGCCGTCCTTTTTTTGGTGGTACCGGGGCCTGAAATCTGGGCCCTACACTTACTTGGCAGGCACTCTACACTGGAACCACACCCTTTTGCTTTAGCTGTTTTTCAGATAGGGTCGCTGCAACCCTCCTATGGCTCCCACCTAACCTTGCTGACCTTTTTTCAACCCAGACGAAGCCAGTAACTTCTCTCTGTTCTATTCTGAGAAACCACGGTACCCAGAGACTTTAAACACATGTCTCCTGACCAAGCCACACCCTAGTCAATGTGCTGATCTAATCAGTGATACCCACCCCATCATCTTTCAAGTGGGCCAAGGACCACTTGGTTCCATTCCCCACCCATGCTCCTACAACCCCTCCTCACAAAAGCCCTTAAAAGCTCATACCAACTACCCCAAGGCACAGATGCTGTCTATGGCATCTGGCCCTTTCCTCCTCTGGAAAATAAGTAAAACTTTGCCTCTGCTTTCACTTGGACCTTTGTGAAATCTGTCACGCCGTGCACCCCAGCCACATGACTGGGACTTAACAATAAGTAGCTGGGATTACAGGCATGTACCACCATCCCTGGCTTGTAGGGCCGTCTTTGCACAAACACTTGAGGGACTCAAGCAGATATAATTTTTTTATTTCCAATACTAAGATCCTCTTTTGTTTTGTCTCATCAGGAAATAGAAACAAAAAGGAACTAGAGCTAGCAGGCCTGGGTGAGTTTAGGCTTCAACATGTAACCTTGAGCAAATAACTCCAGCCCCGTCTCTCTGCCTGTAAGGTGGACAGACTGGCCTGGGCACTTAGGGTCCAGAGAGGACCTGCTGGCACGGTGTGAAGAGAGTGCCTGGAGGCACCTGGGCTATGCACAATGCATGGAGCTTGGCTTCGCCCCAGCCTTTTGCTCACCTCAACGCTTTCCTCATTGGCCTTCAGCAGACTGTCCCACGGTTTTGCTGGTGGTTCCTCTGCATGCTGCAAAGATGTCGTTGCGGGAGGTGAGGTGGAAACCAAGCCGCCACTGCCTGTCCCTCACTCACAGAGGAGGGCACAGAGAAGTCAGGACCTTTTCCACATCTCCCAGACCTAAGCATGGAGGGCCAGGACCAGAGACCAGGTGCTGCTTGGGTGCCCTTGGCGGTGCGGACAGGGCCATGGGCTTGCAGCCAGGCTAGCTTTTCAAAGACAAGCATCTGGCTTCTCTGGAGCCGACAGCCTCATCTCTAACAGGCCTGCCTATCTCAGGCCCCTGTGAGACTCCAATGGACTGCTGAAGGGGAAGGGTCTCTCTGGCAGGACAGATGAGCCATGTCTGCTGCCTCCAGCTCCCCACTGGTCCCTGGTCCAACACATCATGACCTTCCAGATGGTCACTCAAAACCAAACACGTCAGGTGCAAATCAAACACTTGCACAGCATCAGGTGAGTGTGGTTGGGGGGTTCAGGAACAGGGAACAGGGTAGAGACTGTGGAGGAAGGGCCTGCAGGTCTCATAGCCTAGGGACAAACTCCAGGAGATCCAGGCTTTGCTACTTACTCCACTCATGCTGGTTTGCAACCCTGATCTAGGGAACCCAAAGTTTACAAGGAATTAACCAGAAGCAGAGGCAGATTAGCACAGAAGTAAAACAAAAGCTGAAAAAAGGTGGCAGCTAGTGGCTGTCCATGCATGGGGGACATTGAGGGAGGACCACCTGCCTCTCTCTTCTCCTACTGAGGACCCCTGCCAGGAACCTGAGGGGCCCTGGCCTCCTCCTGGCTCCCCTCCCTGCCTGTGCACACACCTGCAGTGGGCTGGCAGGTATCTCAGCCTTCTTGCTGAGGAAGGCCTGCTGCAGGGTGGCATTCTCCACCTGGATAGCTCGAAGCACGGCCGAGGCGTCTTCCTCACGGTCCTCGGTTGTGCACACAGCTTTGCGGGTTGCTGACAGAGGCCTCTCTCGCCTGCTGCCAGGTCCTGGGGAAAGAAAATAGGAGGGAACTCCTTTAAGTTGTGCTCTCAAGGTAAAGCTCAAAGTCTGTGAGACCCAACTGAGAAACACCCTATAAAACGACTGGCCAGTGACCTCCAAAATGTCAAGGTTGAGAAAGACAAAGAAATCCTGGAGGACTGTTCCTGATTAATGGAGACTAGGTAGACATGGGAAGCAGGCCCTGGGACTTGCTCCTGGGTGGGGAAGAAAGTGCCATAAAGAATAAGATTGTGGCAAATGGAGAAATCTGCATATCATCTGTGGTTTAGACAACAATGTTATTTTAATGCTAAGTGTCCTGAATTTCATAAGTGGACAGCGATACTGTAAAATGAATGCCCCCGTTCTTAAGAGACACATACTGCCATGTTCAGGGGCCAAGGAGAAAATAGCTAAAAATATATATGCACATCAAAATGCAAGGGCGTGCATGCCCCTGTAGGAGGCAGCATGAATCTGCACGTACCTTGTACTTCCGTTCACCTCCAGATGACTTACAGCACTAACACAGCGTCAGTGCCACATGAACAGCTGCCCTGGCATCTGAAGGAGGGGCCCTGAAGCAGTCCTCCATGGCTATCTGGGGATGGCTCTATGTATCTGACCAGGTATGCGGCTTTCTGGGAAACAGCATTCTCTGTCCTGCTGACATGCTGATCTGCTGACCTGGCTGCAGGGATTAAAGTTGCTGTGCCAGCCCTTGGCTCCTGTTAGAATGCCACATTTGAATGAGAGCTCAGAATGGCCCTGTGTGTGTGTGGGTTGGAAGAATTAATGTTAAAACATCCACATATGCAAAGCGATCTTCAGATTCTAGCAATCCCCATCAAAACATCAATGACATTTTTCACAGAAATAGAAAAATCAGCCACAAAGTTCATATGTAAGTGCAAAAGACCACAAGTAGCCAAAGCAGTCCTGAGCAACAAGAACAAAGCTGGAGGCATCATGACACCTGACTTCAAAACATCACACAAAGTTACTGTAATCAAAACAGCATGGCCCTGGCAAAGCAACAACACATCCACCAATGGAACAGAATGGAAGATCCAGCAATCGATCCATATTTACAGCCTACTGACATTTGACAAAGGGGGGGGCTCAAAAACATCAGAAACAGGGTAGACTCTTTAATTAATGGTGCTGGGAAAACTGGATGCCAGTATGCAGAAGAATGAAACTAGTTCTCCATCTCTCACTGTAGACAAAATCAATGCAAAATGGGCCAAGGACCCAAGACTTACATTTAGTAAGATTTGAAATTATAAAAGTACTAGAAAGAAAATAGGCAAACACTGTTGGGACAAGATCCTAAGTGCACAAGCACCAAAAGCAAGAACAAACATGGAATTATACCAAACTAAGAAGTGTCTAAGATATCAGTGAAGAACAGTTTTGTCTTTCAATGAGTCACGTGATTGAGTGAAAGCCCAGAAAACATGAGGAACCTGAACAACTCAATCCCAATGAAGGAATAAGTCAAAATGAGAATCTGACTGAGAAATGGGTAGAAGACAGGCGTAGTGTGCATGCCAGCAGGCCCACCAGGCAGGAGGCTGAGGCGGGAAGATGGCTTGAGCACAGGAGTTCAAGGCCAGCCTGGCAACATAGTGAGGTTTTCTCAAAAAGAAAAAAGGTGGGGGGAGACCTGAATAAACATTTCTCAGGAGAAAATATACAAACAGCCAACAACGATATGAGACCACTAAATGTCAAGGAAATTGAATCAAAAGCACGCAAGCTATCATGTTGCCCCAGTTAGAATGGCTGTTATCAAAAATAAAAATAAAAAGGCCGGATCTGGAGAAAGGGGAGTCTTACACACTGTTGGTAGGAATGTCAATCAGTGCAGCCATTATGGGAAAAAGTGTGGAGATTCCACAGAAAACTGAAAATATGACCACCACATAATCCAGCATTATCTGGGTAGGTGTCCACAGGAAACAAAACCAGTATGTCCCAGAGAGCTGCACACCATGCTTATTGCAGCACTGATCATGACAGTCAAGATGTGGAATCATCCCAGGCATCCACTGGTGGATGAATGGATAAAGCCATGTGGTGTATATACACTATGGAATATTATTCAGCAATAAAAAAGGATGAAATCCTGTCATTTGTAGTAATGTAGACGGAACTGGAGGACACTATGTTATTAAATGACATGAGCCAGGCACAGAAAGAAACACCATCTGTTCTCACTCATTTGTGGATCTGATAAAGCTGATCACATAGTAGCAGAGTATAGACTAGAGGCCACTAGAGCCTGGGAAGGGGACAGGGGAGGGAGGGCAGAGACAGGCCAGGTCACGGTTAGCAAAATGCAGTGAGATGGGGGAGTTAGCTGTAATATTGTACAGCACAGTCAGGTACCTATAGTCAACTACAATTTATTATATTTCTCACTATGACTGAATGAGTGGAGGTGGAGGGTCCCAACAAACAGCAATGTAAGACTGGAGGAGAAGGAAATGCTGGTTGGTCATTATGCATTATAGATTCTATCAAATTATCACACCGACCCCCATGCAGAAGTACAGACACTCTGTGTCGAGGCTAAAACCTGACTGGCACTGACAATGGCACTATAGCCTCCATGTGTCTCTGGGGCAGGAAACAGAGAAGCATTTGCTGGCTGGCCCTGAGGACAGTCAGGTACTGACCTGAGGAGTGCTGTGGGTTCTTCTGGGAAGCTGAGCTAAAGGCAGGGAAGGTCCGGGTCCACCAGACGCCCAGGAGAGGAGGCGTGAACATGACCACTAGGGACCCAAGGGGGCGCCTGGGGCACAGCTGCATGCTAGGCCATGTGCCCCACAACAGGGTGCCACCCACATAGGACTGTGCTCCTCATGGGACAATCGCCTTCCTTTCTTGTCCAGAAAAGCTGGAATCTGACATTTACATGGGATGCTTACTGTTATGGGGGCCAGGGTGGGTGCCAAGGGTGGGTAGGGCCACACTGGGATCCTCCTCCCTGGGATCAACAGGAGGGCAGGAGAAGGACGGATGGAAGCTGAGGGCAGTAGTTTTGAGCTTTGCTGGACTGAAGGTGAAAATCCTGGAGTATAAACACATACGGGTCCCAGGATGGCTGAAGCAGGAATGCAAGGTGAGAGGAGCTGCATGACTCATGTGAACCTCCCTGGCCAGACTGATGCTGCTCTGGCTATGGGGCTACGAAGCTGGGCAGAACAGGCACAGCCCTGGCCCTCACTGACCTCACAGTCATGGAGGTCACACACATGCACAAGATAAGGGCTACAGGTGAAGGTGGGGTAGTGAGGAGGTGTGGACACACCACCATTTGAGATGCTCCATCAGGGAAGAGGACACTGAATAGAGGCCCGCAGGCAGCAAACTTTGTGACTACCCTTTGGGGGAAGCTGTTCAGGCCAAAGGGGCAGCAGCACTGAGGTCCTGGGGGCAGAGTTCAGCATGCTGATGAGGAGCCAGGGACTATGATGAATCAAGGAGAGAAGGCTAACAACGACGGCATTCCAGGCTTGGTTCTCACAGGGTCCTAAGGCCTCAGCTACACCACGAGGTCACATGTATCTTGTTTCTGTAATGTCCCTGGATCTGGGGTCATAACATTTTTCAAATGAATGGATGGGAAATGACTTCCAACTCAAACCTTGTATACCTCAGCATTTGTGAACATCACCAAAGCCCATAGCTTCCTCAACAGCTGTGGTAAGCACAACTGGAGAATCCAAGCCCCTTTCGGCCCCCAGAGATGCTTCTATCCATGAGGGATGGAGGTGGCGTACAGAGCTGAACAAACATGCCAGTGGTAGAGGGAGGCCTGGCAGTGCCAGGACAAGCAGAATCTGAAATCCATGAGCTCCTTCTCTATTTCCTGCACGTGACACTCATAAAATTGGCTACAAAAGAGCTATGTGGTGACCCTGGGCCTTTTACAGCCAACTTCTGGACAAGGGTTATGCAGAGGTCTGGGGCTAGGAGGGGACAGTGGTCCCGAGATATCTGGGAAACCTGGCACAGTGTCCAGAGTATAGGCACTCTGTTCTCGGTCACCCAGGTCTGCGCTCAGCTCTCCTCAGCAGAGGGTCCTCAGGATGGCATTTACTCCAGCATCTTTCCTGTGGGAGGTGGCACTCCTCTGCCATGACCCCACAGATCATGGTGCCATCTGTGCACTCTTGAGTTGTATTATGCTAAAAGTTGTACTATGCATTTAAAAACTAAACCACACTTTCTCCAAGTGAGGGTCAACTCTTACAGCCAGGACCAGTGCTTCCCACATGCTGTGGCAGAGTCTCCCTAGTCCCATTGCCACTGACCAGCTCCTGCACTTTCTCCTACAGTGCATGTGTGCGCGGTAACCACCTTTTAACTCTTTTTGACGCTCTCATAGCTCACTTGGGTGAACACGGGCCTGAGCCCCATAGGGTAGTGAATTTATTCTCCCCATAGATGGAGAGGATGGTGGGTTTATTCACACAGTAAATTTGAACCACCATCAAAAGCTAAATCTCATGTTTTAATTTATCCCAGACTGCTCTTTTCTGGTTGTGAACCATCCCTTTTCTGATTACTCCACTTTTTCCTCCCTTCCCTGGCACCTGGCTTTCTTCTCTCTTATAGAGAAAACAAAAAGCGCACTACTTTGGGAGATTTACCATGAATGTCACACATGTCACCAAGAAGATGCAAGGCCACAAGACTGTTGTCGGTTCACAAGCCAGGTGACCTGCTCCTCTCACCAGCTGTGAATCAAAAAGCTGAAATCAAAGTCTCAGCAAAATTACCACTTACTATATACCAGGGTCCCCAAGGTCATCAGAAGCCAGCTGAAATGGCAAATGTGAAACTTGACAATGGCAATGGCCCATTGTAGCGAGCATGAGCCTGAAGACTGCTGGGGAAACCTGTGTTCTGGTACGTGTTTTATAAGTTTTACTGTTTTTTTGTTTTGTTTTTAAAACTAGAAATAGACGCCAAGCTTTAGAAAAGGAAGAAA